AAATGCACAGCCCTCCTCCTCTGGTCTTACCGAAGTCCTCTGCTGTTCTGTCTGCTCGGTGTGTGTGGCGACCGGCTAGCTTGATAGCATCGTCCGGTACTCCGTTGTTTAGCCATGTTTCCGTGAAGATCATGACATTACAGTCCATAATTCTCTTGCTGTGGATGATGCGAAGTCGTAACTCGTCCATTTTGTTCACCAAAGACCGCACATTAGCGAGGAAAATGCTGGGTAACGGGAGACGGTGCGGTGTTAGCTTTAGCTTAGCCCTTATACCTCGCGCTTCCCCGCCTTTGTTTACGGTCTCGACGCCGCCTGCGAGCACTTCCGCCCGGCCGGGTAGAGTGCGTAGCCTCGGGTGTTTTGGCGATCTCAGGGATGAGTCGAAGATTGGTGATTAAATCGTCAGGGAGGTGTATTCCGATATCCAAAAGTTCCTGTCGGGTGTAGGATGTTAAGGCGAGGCTGTTCCGTGCGAACAGACCCGAAATTAACAATAAAATTACTGCAAAATTGCAAATCTGAGAGAGACGCTGGGCCTCGCGATGCGCTCGCGCCGCCATCTTGGTCATGATGATGATGATGATGATGATGATGATGATGAAGGTAAATCAGCAGCTTCATCTCTTTGTTTTCTCCACAGCTGAAGATCTTTGACTGGATGTGACTTCAGCAGCTGAACTTCATCAGTGTTGTTGTAGTGACAGAGTGCAGCTCTCCAGCAGGGGGCGCTCTGCTATGGATCAGTGTGAGGACACAGAGGAGGGAGTCCTCCTCTAAAACCTCTCTGTGTGAGGAACATGAAGCTCTGAGGTGAGGATCTCTAACTGTCCATGACTCTCTCATGTCACAGCTCAACACTCACATCTCTCTACCTTCATCATCATCATCATCATCATCATCATCATCATCATCATCATCATCATCATCATCATCATCATCACCATCACTGTCTCATCTGCTGCTCACAGTAACTAATAATGTTGTTTTTTTGTATCAGGATGCAGGAACAGAGACCAGACTCTCCTGGACCCAGCTGTGTGTCCATGAAGAGTGACCGGTCTATGGGTCGCTTTATTAACTTTAAAGATGGACGTCCTGCTGATGGAAGGTGAGATCTGAAATTGACAAAGAGCTCTGTTCTGCTTTTCTGTAGGCTCACTCTTTCATCCACAGCCATTTACATCACTCTCAGTCTTCAGTCCATGTTCACCTCTCCCAGGACTCGTACTTTTCTCCTGTTTCTCCTACTTCTCCACCAGAGGTCCTCAGAATTCACCTCCTTCTCTTCTAGGTTTCAATAGCCCAGACCTTCTCTTCTACTCTACTCACCTGTCTTCATTTTCCTCATCAGCTTCATTTTGTTTTCTCACCACTTCATGATCATTGTGTGCTTTGGTTCTATCTTGTGTTTTTTCTTTTGAAGTGTTTGTATTTGAACCCTGACCTGCCTGAAGGCTGTAAAATGTGGAAAAAAATCATTTTATTGCAGCTGTGAGTCCATTTTTTCTGCATTTGGGTCTTTCCCTGCGCCCTATTTCCCCGACCCTGTCAGAACTTAACCTGCCTGACACAGAACCAGCCGACAGTGTGATGGACTTCATGACTTCAAAGCAAAAACAGCCCTACTAGAAAGAAGCTAAATATTCTTAGACAAAGTCAAAATAATAGGCCAAACCTTAAAAAGAGACAAATCTGAGGAAAGATTTATTTTTTGGCTTTTTGTTCCGTTATTTAGAGACGGGACAGTAGATAGAGTTGGAAATCAAGGAGAGAGAGAATGGGGAATGACATGCAGGAAAGGAGCCACAGGTCGGAATTAAACCTGAGCCACCCGCTTGGAGGGCTACAGTCTCCCTGCATGGGATACACACACTAACCGCTAGGCCACCAGCACTCCAATTAAAGCATTTTTATTGAATGAACATTTTTGTTTTTCCCTCAGGTAGAATAAAAGTCCTCTCCTTCCTCACTCCCAATGATGACCAAAACAAACAGACATACTGTCCACAATATCAGATTTCATTCACTGAGAGTCTGCTTCTGCACGTCCATTTTAAAGCATGCACCATCAAGGATGGGAGCCATGGTTTAAAAACTGTGATTAGAGGATTATGGTCCACGAGGTGGATGTGGATGTCCTGACTTTGTCCACAGCCCAGATCCTGAACCTGATGAGGTTCTGCTGGTGAGATGTTGGGCATTGAAGCTGCAGGTCACGTTCACTAACCTACCTGGTCCATACATCCTGCTGATCCAGCTGACCATTGTACTGATATCTGACTACACTTTCTCCTGGACTACATAGTTTAATACTTGATCCTTGTTTTAGTGAATGGTATCTGAGTCAGCTGAGGCACGTTTAGTCCTTGATCTGGATCTGTTCCGTATCCTAATAGTAGTTGCTGCCTGTGGTACTACAGTCTCTAAATGTACGATGAGAGGTAGAGCCTTCATTTTTTTTTTTTTTTTATTAGGTTATGCCAATACAAGGTGTGTGTGTGTGTGTGTGTGTGTGTGTGTGGTGTGTGTGTGTGTGTGTGTGTGTGTGTGTGTGTGTGTGTGTGTGTGTGTGTGTGTGTGTGTGTGTGTGTAATTCGAGTGTAAGCTTGTGTTTTTTTTTTGTTTGTTTTTTCCATTCCCCTCCTCTGTACCCCTATTCCTATGTTTGTCCTTCTTCTTTCCTTCATTCCATTTTTTTTTAATTTTCTTTCTTTCTTTGTTTCTTTTTTTTTTTCCTTCTCATCCTTTTTGTTCTTTCTATATATGTTATCTTTTTTTTTTTCCTTCCTTTCTACTTCAGTCATTGTGTGATGCAAGGCTGCCCCTGATAGGGTCGCCTACTGCTGATTTCTCATCAGTGATGCCCCTGTTTCTGTTGCCCCCAGACCCTGCGGAGAGGGCCAGCTGATAGGGTCGCCTACTGCTACCCTCCCGCCAAGCTTGAACAAGGAGGGGCTAGAAAGCATAATTCAAATTCAAAAAACTTTATTTGTCCCCGGGGGGGCAATTCAAAGGCACATAGAGCAGTAAATTAACAACAGTGCAAAGTAGACAAAACATTTTAACCTAAATAGAAAGTGTCAATTTAAATACAACTTAAAGCTTAAACTTAACTTAAAAATACAAAATATAAAAGAGTAGATATAAGTGGACAGTGATCGGACTAACAGATGTAAACAGATGTAACCATAACTATGTGCAGTAAACGAGAAATAAATATATATATATACAGAGCTATGTGCAAGTAGGAAAATACTAAATGATAAGTTATTAAGGTTGCATTATTAAGGTGCATGGTGAATAATGGAACAACAGAACTAATATAAACAATATAACTGTAAAGTAAAATTAGATAAATAAAGTGACCGTAGTGCAATGATGGATAAGAAACAACAGGAATAAATTAACCAGAACTGTATGAATACTGATATAAAATGGATAGAATAAAGTGATGTAGTGCATGAGACCAGATAAAGCAGAGGCAGTTCAGGTGCATGTCAATATAAAGGAAGTTCACAGCTGAGAGTCTGCATTGGGTGAGAGGTGTTGGTGTCTGTTGGGGGGTTAGGAGTTGAGGAGCTGGACAGCCCTGGGAACGAAGGTTGCTCTTCTCCTCTGTGTCCTGCAGCAGGGACAGCGAAGCCGGCGTCCTGAGGGGAGCCACTCAAACGCTGGGAAGAAAGCGTGTGAGGGGTCCTGCATGATCCGACCTGCTAGCCTGATTGTCTGTTGCTCATAGATCGATGTCAAAGTCCTTACAGGTAGTCCAATGATCTTAGAGCAGACTGTGACCGTGCTCTGCAGGCGCTTTCTGTTCTGGAGGGTGGTGGAGTGGAACTAGCAGGTTATAGAAAAAGTAATAATGCTCTCAATGAAGGAGTAGTAGAAGGTCAGAAGAATGTTCTTCCTGACTCCAAAGGAATTGAGCTTCCTTAGGAGGTATTTCCGCTGCTGATATTTCCTGAGAATCTCCTCGGTGTTGGAGGCGGATTTCAGCGGGCTGTCGAAGATGGTACCCAGGTACTTATACTCCTCTACTAGTTCGACAGGATTCCCATGGATTGTGGTGATTGCTGATGCAGCCAGTTCCCTCTGCTTGTTGGAGAAGGTCACCACCATGTCTTTGGTCTTGCTCATGTTCAGTTCGAGGCAGGAGCTGTCACACCACTCCACAAACTCCTGAAGAACTGCTCCATGGTGCTGAGAGGGGCCTGACAGCAGAGAGAACTGTGTCGTCTGCGTACTTCACCAGGTGACAGTTTGGCTGTGTGGTTCTGACCAGAACTCTCTGTGATCTGTTGGTCAGAAAGTCCAATATCCACAGGATAAGCTGGTCGTTCAGATGGAAGCAAGTTGAAAGTTTGTCAGCCAGGATGTGAGGCTGCAGGGTGTTGAATGCAGAGGAGAAGTCTGCAAACAGGAGTCTGGCTGAGGTGTTGGGGTGCTCCAGGTGTTTTTGAACAGTGTCTATTATGAATGTTTTTGCATAATCGACAACTCTGCCTGCACGATAAGCAAATCGTAGCGGGTCCATCCATGAGTCGGTTTCTCTGATGATGTGTTGTTTTATGATCCTCTCCATGGCCTTCATCCCCAGAGACGTGAGGGCCACAGGCCTGAGGTCATTCAGTGATTTGGCGGGGCTTTTCTTGGGGATGGGGATAACTGTGGAGTGTTTCCACAGCTGGGGGACTGTGCTGCTGTCCATAGAGCTCTGGAACAGGGTCTGAAACACGCCCCCTAGCTGCTCAGCACAGTGCTTCAGGATGCAGCCACTGATGTTGTCTGGACCAGGTGAGCTGCTCTCACCACGTCCTCTCTGCTGAAGGTGAGTGCAGAGTCACTGGGCTTGAGCATGGACACTGTTCCTTCCAGCTGTGTGGTGTTGTCCTTCTCAAATCTGGTGTAGAATGAGTTGAGATCGTTGGGGAGAGAAGTAGAGCTGCTGCCTGCAACCTCGATGGTTTTCATGTTGGTAGCAGCAGTGTTCACAGCAGCCATGTTTTTGAGGCCCTGCCAAGCTGAGCGGAGGTTCCCCTGTGTGATTTTTTCCTCCACTTTGTTCTTGTACTTGAGCTTGGCAGTTTTTATGGCGTGCTTGACTTCTGTGTTTACCTCCTTTTTCTCCATTTCGGAGCCGGTGAAGAAGACCCTTTTCTTCTTGTTGAGGACCTCCTTGAGCTCTTTGGTGATCCAAGGTTTATTGTTGGGGTAGATCGCTTTGTTGTTTAGTGATGTTCAGTTTGAGGAGGTCACACTGTGTGTGTGTGTGTGTGTGTGTGTGTGTGTGTGTGTGTGTGTGTGTGTGTGTGTGTGTGTTTCAGACTGACGTCGACAACGACCTGGTGGGAGACGTGTGTGACACCAACCAGGACACGTATGTCTCTCTCTCACACACACACACACACACCCACACCCACACACACACACACACACACACACACACACACTTTATGTCCTCCTGTCTCACCATCTGTCCTCCTGTCTCACTGTCTCTCCTCCTGTCTCACCATCTGTCCTCCTGTCTCACTGTCTGTCCTCCTGTCTCACTGTCTCTCCTCCTGTCTCACCGTCTGTCCTCCTGTCTCACTGTCTGTCCTCCTGTCTCACCATCTGTCCTCCTGTCTCACTGTCTGTCCTCCTGTCTCACCGTCTATCCTCCTGTCTCACCGTCTCTCCTCCTGTCTCACCATCTCTCCTCCTGTCTCACCGTCTGTCCTCCTGTCTCACCATCTGTCCTCCTGTCTCACCGTCTGACCTCCTGTCTCACCGTCTCTCCTCCTGTCTCACCATCTCTCCTCCTGTCTCACTGTCTGTCCTCCTGTCTCACCATTTGTCCTCCTGTCTCACCGTCTGTCCTCCTGTCTTACCATCTCTCCTCCTGTCTCACCATCTGTCCTCCTGTCTCACTGTCTCTCCTCCTGCAGAGACGGGGATGGTCACCAGGACAGCAGAGACAACTGTCCTGACATTCCCAACAGCTCCCAGCTGGACTCAGACAACGACGGTCTGGGAGACGATTGTGACCACGATGATGACAACGACGGTGTCCTCGACGACTACGACAACTGCCGACTCATCGTCAACCCCTACCAGAAAGACTCAGACAGTAAAAGAAAAACGTCTTTCATGAGACAGGAGACAGAGAATACATACTGATTATGAAGATTACAAACAACTCACTCTCTCTCTTTCTCTCTTTCTCTCTCTCCCTCTCTCTCTGTCTGTCTCTCTCTTCCTCTTTCTGTCTCTCTCTCTGTCTCTCTCTCTCTCGCTTTCTGTCTCTCTTCCTCTTTCTGTCTCTCTCTCTCTTCCTCTTTCTGTCTCTCTCTCTCTTTCTCTCTCTCCCTCTCTTCCTCTTTCTGTCTCTGTCTCTCTCTTTCTCTCTCCCTCTCTCTATCTGTCTCTCTCTCTCTCTCTCTCTTTGTCTTTCTGTCTCTCTCTCCCTTTTCTGTCTCTCTCTCTGTCTGTCTCTCCCTCTGTCTCTCTCTGTCTCTCTCCCTCTCTCTCCCTCTCTCTCTGTCTCTCTGTCTCTCTCCCTCTCTCTCCCTCTCTCTCTGTCTCTCTGTCTCTCTCTCCTGTCTCTCTCTCTTCCTCTTTCTGTCTCTCTCTCTCTCTTTCTGTCTCTCTCTCTCTCTCTCTTCCTCTTTCTGTCTCTCTTCCTCTTTCTGTCTCTCTCTCTCTCTCTCTCTCTCCCTCTATCTTTCTCTCTCTCTCTCTCTCTCTCTCTCTCTCCTCTCTCTCTCTTCCTCTTTCTGTCTCTCTCTCCCTCTTTCTCTCTCTCTCTCTCCCTCTGTCTCTCTCTCTCTCAGTGAACGGCGTTGGGGACGTCTGTGAGAATGACTTTGATAATGACGCTGTGATGGATTTGTATGACGCGTGTCCTGAGAGCGCTGAGGTCACTCTGACAGACTTCAGAGCCTATCAGACGGTGATCCTAGACCCAGAGGGCGACGCCCAGATTGACCCCAACTGGGTGGTTCTGAACCAGGTGACCCTCCATCCTCCCATGGTTTCATGTTTTGGTATTAAAACTTCAGACTAATACCTGATTAGGTGAGTTGGGACCCTCCTCAGGTGAGGGTCCGGTCTCACTGAGGGTCTCCAGCTGACAGGTGGATCTGTGTGTGTTTCAGGGGATGGAGATCGTCCAGACCATGAACAGTGATCCTGGTCTAGCTGTGGGTATGTCTTTTTATTTAAAACTTTATTAAAACCAGCTGAGATCTGCTCCTGGTCTGACTGTAGACCCCTCCCCCCGCTCGGTTTTGTCTGTAGGCTACACAGCGTTTAACGGCGTCGACTTCGAGGGAACGTTTCACGTCAACACGGTAACTGATGACGACTACGCCGGCTTCATCTTCGGCTACCAGGACTCGTCCAGCTTCTACGTGGTGATGTGGAAACAGACTGAGCAGACGTACTG